CGGGAAAACTGTGGCAGAAATCTGAAAAGATATGCATTGTGGAAACAGGCAGAGTTCTGGAAAGTGGATGAGGTATGTGTCTGAAAAGGCGAAGTGCGTTTTACAGCACAAGGTGTCCAGAAGAAAGAGGGGCGTGGCAATGCTGCAGTGTGTAAGGCAGGGCTGTTGCCATGGCTACCTGAACACCTGCTGCCATGCCTGCTAATTATGGCAGAGTGGCGTCCTGACAGCGTGAAGGACGAGACTGAGTGACTCTTACAGAGGAAAGAGTATCTGTCATTTTCCGAGGTCCGTGGCACAAAGTAATTCTGGAATCCCTAGGACATTTTCCCCGCTATGTTGAGAAGTCCTGTCCGAGAACAAAAGCAGAACCACAAGGACTTGATGACTTCAGCTGTGCTTCTAGATCCAGCTATTCCTGAAGTCTTCTTCTGAAATGGAACTTTCCAGTAATACAAGCAGAATTTCTTCTTTTGTTCACTTCGGTTTGAGTTTTTGTTGCTATTATTATTATTACTATAGTCTAGTAGTGTTGCCCAAACCCTAGCAAGTGTTGGGGACACAAAGTGTCCTGAGATGCCAGTGGGTGATTGTTAACACACTGGTGTCCCCGTGAATCAGCGGAGTGCAGAGTTGTCCAGACCGGGAGAGAGTGAGGTGCCTGGAGACGGCTGGCCATCAGTGGCCCGGTGACCCAGCTCCCAGCTCTTGCTGGTCACTGTCAAGAACAAGGGGTCCCGGGAGCCGGCATGGAGGGGACGCATGGGCTCAGCTATGTCGGCAAGGTTCTCTGGCTCCTGGGAGCCACGCCCTGCCACACACCTTGTGGCCGTGGAGGGAGCACTGGGCTGACGAGGGCGGTTGTGCTGCAGCCCTGCCGCTCACAGGACAGGCAAGGCTTGTGTCCCGCAGGCTTGGTGCCATCTGCCCTCCGAGTTGGCCACCAAGGCATTGCCACGTGTATCCCCCATCAGGAGGCCAGGACTTGGGGGATGGTTCCCTGGCTCCCTGTCTCTCTCTCTCTGTCCTCACTCATTCCCTGCGGGGCAGGTGCTGCCTTCTTGGCCTGGCAGTTTTGGACGTGTCAGAGGTCTTTGCTCTGGGGAAGAATGCTTTCCCCTGGTGCAGCATGGCTTCCATCAATGGGAAGGTGACCGGCTCGGGCCACACCGGCTCCTCATGCCAGGGCCCCCATGATGGGGAAGGAGCTACTGCCTGGTTGGGGCTCAGGACTGACTGGGGAAGGGGCCCTCTGCTCTGCTGGGGGACGGGGAGGGTGTGTGAGGGGCACCCTCCAGTTCCATGTCCTGTTACGGCGGTGAACGGAAAGCCACCTCTTCCCTGAGTGTCTTTACTGAGTGTGATCACAAATGCAGTTACTGCTGCTGCCACGCACCCTCCGAGGGAATGGCAGGCCAGGTAAAACCTGACGCTGCGTCCTCGTCCACCTCAGTCACCGGATCTGGCACTGTGCAACTTTCTGTTCTTCCCAAAGTCAAAATGACCAGGAAGGGGAAGTGTTTTGAATCCATTCCGGACATCGAGGCAGCCAGGGCAGCACAACTAAAGACACTCAGGACAGAGGGCTCCAGATCTGCTGCAGGAAGCGGCGAGGAGAATGGGATGAGTGTGCCCTGCGAGGAGAATGGGATGAGTGTGCCCTAGGGAGGGGGATTTGTGGTGATGCATCCTTCGCTGTAAGCCATTTTAAAAGTCTGAGCGCACTGTATTTTTCATCGCGCCCCTGAAATTTCCCACGTCTGATGTGCAAACCATTGGTTGTGGGTGAGTGGGAGAGGGAGACACCGTGTGTGCTTCCTGAGGTGGGAACATGACCTTCAGAGTCCTGCCCTTGCCCAGCCCTGTGGGAGTCGGGGCCCACGCCAGGCCGCAGGCACAGTGAGTATCGTAGGGACACAGGTGCCACCGGGTTCTGGGCTGTGTGGAGTCCTTCCCAGCCCACAAAGAGTCAGTCTCCTACCTGCCGGTGCCGATGACCTAGAGGCGCCTCAACACGGCCACCCACAAGACCCAGCACCATCCCTGTGGCTTCTTCGGGGCCCTCCCTGGTCCACGCAGCCCTCAGGCCAGATCCCCGGCAGCTCCCCACTTCCAGGCCAGGCCAGCTTGACCACTGTTAGTAACTTTTTTGTGTGTGGTATTGGAGATTAAACCCAGAGCTTTACACTGAACTATACCTTCACTCTTTTTTTAAATTTGAATTTAGAAACAAACCCTTGTAATGTCTCTAAGTTGCCAAGGCTGGGCTCAAACTTGCCAACCTCCTCCCTCAGCCTCACACTATTCCCAACTAGTTGTAGCGTTTGAGATCCTAGCTGGTAACCCATGCAACTCGGGTCCTCACCTCCTTTTCTGAAAAATGTACCTCCCTATTCCTCCCCCCACCCCAACTGTAGGTTTATCCAGAATAATTCTTATCCTCCCAGATGATGTTTATTTACTTCTCCAGGAAAACAAGAAACAAAATTTATAAGAAAGGTTTATGAAATATCCAAGAGACATTTGAGTAATTTTATTTACCTATGCACACCCGCTTATAATTTTTGAAACACAAACATAATGTCTAATTTCACTACAACTTAAAATACCACAACAAGAAAGGATTAATGAAGATTATGATGTTTAATTCTTTATGTCAACCTGACTGGACCACAGAGCCTAAGTATTTGGTGAAACATTTTTCTTGTTATTTCTTTGAAGGTATCTTTGGCATAAGATTAACATTTAAATTGGTTATGTTAATCAGTTTGTCATTGCTGTGAAAAAACACCAGAGAAAATAACCCAAGGGAGCTAAGATTTATGTGGGCTCCCGATGAAGCCCAGAGTGGGCCAGAAACATCATTGTGGAAGGGCCTGGCGGAGGAAAGCCACTTACCTCATGGCAGACAGGAAGTAGAGAGGCCAGGGAGAAAGGGGCCAGGACCAGATACAATCTCCAAGGCCAGCCTCCATCACCCTTCGACCCTACCAATTCCATTTCCTCCTCATGGTGCTACCTAATCATGACTAAACCAGAGCCCTGATAATCCAGTCACCTGAAAACCCCACCTTCGAACACAGAGTAAGACTTCGGGAGGACTCCTCAAATCGGAACCATATTCCTGAGGAACAATGAGCAAAGTGGATTCCCCTCCACAATAGGGGTGGGCCTCACCCTGTCAGTTGAAGGGCTCAGGTCAAAAGTTTCTCAGAGAAGAAGAAATTCGTCCGGCAGCCCACCTTGAACTCCACCCCCAGCTCCTCTGTAGGGCTCTACCTTATGGGTCCACCGTGAAGATTCTGGGTAATACTCCACAACCGTGTGAGCGAATCCCTTCACTCCTCTCACCTGTCTCTCATCTTCCCTCAGTGCCCCCCTATGCACACCCCATCCGCACGGCTCTCTGTCCTTATGTGTGCATCTGCACTCACACGCCATTCTGAAAAACCTTGTCTACCTCGCGGAAGCAAGTGGTGTCTTAGTGTTAAAAATGTTCTGGTCTTCTACTCAGTATTTTGCTTTGGCCCATGAAATATCCCAGCAGTCATCTAGACTTAATGTAGATAGCAACTCAATGAATGATTTCCAGAAAGTAAAGCAAGTGGCTATTTTACCCTTTCACAAGTTCTTGATGAACAGTAACAGTTGTGGGTGTTCCCCGAGTATCATGCAAGAGCACTAATTAGTAGGTAGGTGTATAAACTCCTTGGCTGTGGGTGCCCAAACCTGGGCCACATGCAGACAGAAATAAGAAATCACACGGGTCATGTAGGGTGCCATAGACTCAGGAGGCCCAGAGTCCCTGTGAAGAAACTGTGTGTGATTGTTCTTCTTTTCCCAGAGGAGGAGACGCAGCCAGCACCTAGGTACCCTTCATATTCATCTGTCACTGAGGCAGCTGCTGGGATGAGCAGACGGGAGAGCCCAGAGGACAAAGCCGAGCTGTCCACCAGTGGCAAATAAAGACTGAGAAAACCCACAATTTTCCTTTCCTCTGTGGTGGAAGCCAGTGCTCTGAAGACAAGCGGGTCCCAGGCCCAAACCAGTTGTGTGCAAATGCACTCTGTGGCAACACGTCATTGAGTGCCCCAGCGCAAGTGGTGCCCAGGTGTATGCACTCAGCTGCACAGGTTACAACAGGAGGGCCTCAGACTTGAGTCAAACAGGGAGAAGTGGAGAGCGATCCGTCCCATTCCATGCTTGTGTTGGGAACTTCACACTCAGAACATTCATCCCTAGGGGCTGAGGTTAACCTACCAGAGCTGACCAAAGTATCCAGATGTGCTCAAATTTCTTTACTTACAGTACGCAGCACATCACCATGAGTCCCCTAGCTTTGAGCACTTTTAGCCCATCTTTCTGGCCTCTTCCTGCAGCAGCTCTGGAGTCCTCTCTCCTGAGGGTCTTTACGAAGTGTGAGCAAAACTACGATACATGCCACTGCCCAGTGCCGCCCAACAGAAAAGCAGCGCGCAGAAACACACCACCATGTCCTCGTCTGCCTTCCACCTCACTGCACCATGTGAACCCCGGCTCCTTCCCAAAGTCAAAATGACAACGAAAGGGAAACATTTTGAATGGATTCACGATGTCACAGCAGCCAGCACAGTGCAACTAAAGCAGTGTATTCTGAGGACATATTCTGAGGGGATGAATAGCAAGATGGCTTTTACTGCAATAAAATTTTCAAATTCAAACATTCAGCAATATGTTGGTCATCCTTCGTGTGGTGGGTAAGATGGGATGTCAGGATTATCCAAAGAATTTCTGCCCCCATCCTCTGACTCTGCTGCTGGAGACAGTCGCTGTGCTGTCCAGGGTATGGCAAGACCACCATGGGAATTTGTTATTACAGATCTTTTTCAGGGCCGGGGGAGGAACTCGGGACCGTATCCATGCTGGGAAGCTGTTATCTTTAGATACCTGTTTCACCCCATGGTTACACTGAGAAGGGGAACTCAAATTACATAAGAAGGACAACCATCACGCACTCAGTCATCCCCTAGTTCACGTGTACATGTGCACGCACAAGCATATGTCTGAATTAAGTGTGTAGTGCATATCCTGAGAGTGGAAGGTAGGGAGCTCTGCTTTCTGTACATCTGGACACCATTAACCCTTTGACTTCAGAGCAAAGGGTGTGAGTGGCCCGGGCTTTGAGCCGGGCAGAGGCCAACGCGACCCAGAGACCCTCCCAGGCGGGGACTGTGCCTGGCGAAGGTGGTGTGAAGCCCACCTGGTGTGTGTCTCTGCACGGTCGCGGTGGCCAGGCAGGAAGAGCACGGCCCTGGGTAGACACAGGGAGGGGGACAGCGGTCTCAGACCTGGCTGTGGACTGTGTTTCCCTCCAGCTGTGCCCCGCCCAGCCTGAAGGGGACTGAGCTATCCTCCTGCATCAGTTACCATGAATTTAAACTGTGACCCATTTCCATGAGAACAGGACTGCTGGGGAGAGTCTCTCTTGCAGAAGTGCTGAACACCTGTCCTCTCGTGGGAGCACACGGACTGTGGGTTCTCTCCTTAGGACCCTTCCTTCACCTCCCCAAGTGGGTCAGAGCCCAGAAGGAGCTCCTTCAGCCCAAAGCAACCCTCTGTCTTCTGTGAAATCCATGCTAGCTGTTCTCATTGTCCACTCTGGTCTGATGCTGAGGATGTGATTTCTCATCTCTGAAAACCCTACTCCAGTCTTTTACTTTGAATACATTCGCTTTGTCGATATTTCTGCTTTGGAGAAATCACACATTGGCAAGCAAATCCTTAGACCTGAGTTGCAGAAGTGCTCGTTCCGCTGCTCCAATGCATGTGCACTGCTGGCTGTGACTGGCTGCACACCCACACCTGTCTGTCGGAGCCAGGTGAAGAGAGGCAGGGCTCCCTTCTTCTCTCTGTGGGATCTAGGGCTCGACAAAGGCAGGACACTGACATCAGAGAAGCCCAGTAGGTCGGGCCGGGAGCGGAGGACAGACAGATAGATGCCTTTTACGACCCCCCACCCTGGGATTTCCCCCATCTGGAAGCTTTGTCTCCTGTGATTATCTCTGAGAAAATGAAAGTAGACAGGACCCTGCAAACTGGACCTGGATACGGAGTGCGTCAGGGTAATTATGCTTCGGCTGGACTGTTGTCTTGCTCCCAGTGGGGCACTCTCGCGGGGACCATCATTTCCCTTTGGGGCGGCCGGTAAGTGCCATTACTGATACCTGAACTGAATGACACCGGAGGGCCTTGGAGAACAGCCTCGGCTACACCCAGTCATGAGGGCTATTATTTTTGAGAATGGCTTCGGGAGAGACTAAAATCACTCCAGCTTTTAGAAAGAACATTCTGTTCCTATGCCCAGGGCCGTATTTTGTGCTTGCATAGCTTCTTAGAAAAGTCCTGTTTTAGAGTTCCCTGGGAATTCTCTATTTCTCTGTGGGCTCATGGGGGCCATGGTATAACGCAACCCTCTTGGTGAAAGAAAACATAAGAAGGCATCTTGACTATCAGCTCAGCACACATACCTTGCAGCCAGGGAGCGGAGGGCTAAAGGGTGGTCTGGGGGACCAGCCTCTCTGGGTCTCAGAGGACCAGCCATCTGCGCCTGCAGGACCTGGTCAGCGCGGCAGAGCCCTGTGACCTGTGGTCTGTAGCAACCAGGCGAAGCAGCGGGATAATCACGCATCTCCCCTGGTCACAGCCGTCGGGCCACCATCTGAGTTGGACTTCCTGGGAGTGGAGCTGGAGGGAGAAGACATCCAGTGTTGGCCGGGGCTCTCGAGAGGGGCAGAGGTAATGGAAAGTGGATTACATTTGTGAGAGCTCAGTGTCTGAGGCAGAGGGGTCCACAGCAGCGACTATACACCAGAGTGGGAGGAGCCAGGACGCCTCGGCCCAAGGAGCTGGAAACGGCAGGACAAGAGGGACCAAGGACGCAGCCCTAGCCCGAGGTGGAAGGCAGCAAGTCCTTCCGTCTCCCTCTGCCAGTCTGCATGCCAGTCGTCGCACAGCCGCACCCAGAAGGCAGCTCCTCTAATCTGCCAGGTGGCCCATTCCCACAGGCACGAAGGGCCTTCCCAAGGGGCTCCCTCCCTGGGCTGCATCCCACACCTCCCCTCGGGGAAACGCTGGTCCTCTCTGGGCTCCCCATCCTGTCTGTAAGACAGGCCCAGTACCTGCCCCAGTTTGGGTGCTCTGTGAATGCTCAAGGTCCAGAGCCACGTCCTCCACTCAGGGCCTGGTACGGGTGCCCTGAAACCCACGCTGTTACACTGGTCCATGCACCAGCTTGACACAGCGTGTGCCACTCTTCCCCTGGAAGTCAAGAACCTGTCTTCTTTCTTTCCAACTAGTTCTTCTGATGACCGGGTGGGGTGGGGGGACAGGAAGCGCCTTACAGGATGGTGCTGAGGGAGAGGAACCAGGGGGGTGTGCACGGCCAGAACTGGCTCAGACCTCTGCCATCTGAGGTCACGTGCCTTGCGAAACTCTCTCCAAACTTGGAGGAGGTCAACTGATAGCAGAAGTCAGGCTCCCAGCTGACCTTCTGGGCACCTCACCACCCCTACAACCCACCGGCGGCCGGCTATGTCACCCTTAATCGATTGTATGAATGCGATCGTGTGCTTTGTGTTGGAAATTCACTGGGTTGTGAAATGACAACAGCAGACATGTGTACTGGGAAACTGTCAAATTGGTCTCCTTTGTGCTTTAAGCGTGTGATTTTGTGTCAACACAGCCTAGCAGGTGACTCAAAGTCTGATCCCTGCACAGCAGGATGAGCACCACTGGAGAACTTGGATTCCCAGCCCTGCCGAGGCCCAGCAGTCCCAAGCCGAGGGGCAAGGCAGCAGCTATGGTCGGTCCAAGGTACCATCCAGAAGCTTCAGGCACAGACCAGAGCGCATCCTCTTCTGGTGAGCAGAGACCAGAGAGGTCACGGAGGGCAGGAGTCCTGTGTGCTGCACGCAGCTGGGAACATCGGGAGCACCTCGCCGCTGTCACCCCACCTACCGGGGCTGGCTCGGCTGGTCTGCAGTGGAACCCAGCCTCGTGCCTTAAAATCGCCGTCCAGGTGACTCCAAAGCAAGTGGAGGTTGGAACCACTGATGCTCCATCTGTCATTTACTGACAGGCACGAGGGGCAAGAGGGGAGGAGGAGCCGGGGCTGTCAGCTTAGGCCAAGCAGTGAGGTGTGTCCCCCACTGACGACCAGAGTGAGCCGGGCCAGCACAGGAGCGAGCCACTGTGCACAGTTCCGAGATTCCTAACCTGCTGTGGCCTGGGTGAGTCACAGGAGGCCTCTGCCCCTGCCTGCTGCTTCCCTTCCCCTGTGCGTTATCAGTGGCTCCAGCCCTGATCCCCGCCAATGTTTTAATAGACATAAAATTGCTCATCCCGGGAGACGCGACATCTTTGACGTAAGGGTGATGGAAGCGACAGGCCATGATTAGAATATTAGTCGGAATCGGCCCGACTTCCTGTCTGCGTCTTACCGATCAAAGCCCTGCATCGATATTGTGTTTCCAGGACAGCGAATGGCTGGCCTTCTCAAACAACATAACAGGTTGATTGCTGAACCGGATGTTTCAGCCCCAAGCGGAAGGTTCTTCCTTTTTTGTTGTTAATTTTTCTGCATCCATTGATTTTCAACGAAGTCCTTCCTGACTCTTCTGGCTGAAATATCAGATGTGCTCAATAAGATCCCCGGTGGTGGCCGTGACCTCTGCTCGGCCCCGGGAGCTCAGCCTAGCTCTTTGTCACCTCCTGGACACCCGCTAGACATCGGGCCAGCACTGCTGCTGCCCCACGCTGTGTCACTGCCGGCCGTGCATTCGCGCAGGTGGGGAATAAAGGTGGTGTTTGCACCTGCAATGTCGGTTTTTCCCTCTGTACACAAAAGAATAAATCCACAGACTGCACTTTTTCTTTCCCACATTTACCATTTAGTGCAATAGTTGCCAGGAGTGTGGAATTGATTCAACCCTCAGGAAGACAAAAGCCCAGCGCGAGCACGCTGTTTGATGTCTCTGATCAATATTTGCAAGCCCAAGTCGGATGTGCTGGGGAGCTCCCGCCCCGCCCCTTCCCGAGTGTCAGAAGCCACCTCAGTGCTGGGAAGCCGGGTGCTCAGCACATGGGACACGTCCCAGCGGCGGCTGCCCGTGCAACCTGATATTGTGCCCATTGTTGCCCACTCCGTAATCATCGGTGGATCAGAGCAGGCTGGGGGTTACCATAGCAACGCTGGCCAAATGGAGGTGGCACAAGAGGCCGGAGGACAGGGAAATGTTGTCACTTCAACCCCAGATGCTCGGGGCTGGGGAAGCAGCTCCAAGCCGCAGATCAGAATATACAGCTTTGAGCAGCTCTGGGTGTCCTCTGCAGAGGTGCAGAGGCCCCCTGGATGCAGCAGCTTGTCACAAGGGTCCTTGAGTCCCCACACCGCTATTGTAGTCAGGCTTCAGAAGACAGAGTCAGCCTAGGCTGGAGAGGTGCAGGAGCAGGAGCCAGGGTGGGTGAAGAAGGACTGGCCCTCACTGATTCAGCCCCCTGGGGAGAGCTCCTGGTGGCAGGCAGCCCATGATAGAAGCCAGTTATCTCTTTCATCCAGCCTGGAAGAGGTCATTGGCCCCCAGTGGGATTTTCATCTTCAGGCCTCCTTAATGCCCACCCTCCATCCCTGGCCCCTGACCCTTGATCCTCGGTGTGTCAGACTTGTACGGAGCTGCATCTGGCCCTTTAATAAAATTTGGTTTTTGAGACAGGGTCTGGCTAGGTTACTAAGTTGCCCGAGTTGGGCTCAAACTTACGATCCTCTTGCCTCAGTCTCCCAGAGTGCTAGAACTCGGGTGGGTTCCTGCCTCTGTTCATCCTGTTTCTGGCAGTTACTGAGTCTCCTGCCTACCTTGATGCATGGAGAGGAGGCAGCTGCAGCACTCAGGCTCTGGGCGAGTCCCACTCGGCCTCCTGCTGGCTCCGTGAGCTGGGACGACCCCCTCAGGTGCAGGCCCAAGCCAGGCCTCTCAGGCTGTCGCCCACAGGTATGGGTCAGGGGTCAGGGTCGCCAGACTGGGGCTTGGTGATGCTCACACACATGGTGGCGGGCACTGGAGTAAGTGTAAGGAGCAGACTTTACACCCAGCACCTGCATCTGGGGTCTCAGGGCATCTGTGTTAACACCAAGTGTCTCCTTCCCTTTCCTTGTCGCTGAAACAATACTGGACACCGCACCGGAAAAGAGGGAGGTTTATTTTCGCTCACAGTCTACAGAGGTTACAGTCCAAGGCACACCGGGCTCCAAGGCAACAGGCATGGCAGAGGGGCCTGGCAGAGGAGAGCTGCTCAGGGCATGGCCGACAGGAGGCAGAGAGAAGGGAGGAGTGGGAGAACCAGGCTCCACCCATGGCCCTCCTCCTCCACCAGGCTCTGCCTCCCAACATCACATTCAGCTCTAAACTCTGCAGTGGATTAACTCAGTGATGAACGTCACCCCCTCAACCAGTCACCTCCCCAGAGCCCCTCTGTGAGTGCATGAGGCTGTGGGGGACATCTCAAGAGACCACTCCCACAGCAACCACTTTGATCCCTTTATTTTCCTCCTTTTCCAAAGAATTCTTTTGTATTTTGATTAGCCAGCTAATGTTCAAACACATCCGTGCTACACACCACCATAAGAAAACTGAAGGAGCCAGAAAGCAGATGAAAAGAGCTAACATTCGTTTCTGGTAAAAGTCCCTGCCGGCCTCCTTCCTCCCCCGTGACCGGTCACCTGGCCTCCTGGCATCAGGGCCCCCAGAAATAGTCAGCGCTGGTGGCCATGCTGGAGCAGGAGGGAGAAGAGCCACCCTCCGCAGGCCTTGGGTGATCTACGCGTGGTAGGCTGCCTGGCAGAGGACTTCTGCACCAGGGAGCTTTCACCGGCGGAAGAACAGGTGGTTGCCTAAGGCAGCAAAATGTTTTAGGGACACCCATGGCGGGGGTCTGCAAGCTGTGAGAGTGCCTTGTGGCTTCTTTCCCCATCTTGCCTAGGGCAGCACAATCCCAGCAGCACCCTAGGGTGGCAGCAGAGGCAGCATTTGCATACATTTACATCTCTCGCAGAGGGGGAGTGAGGGCCTCCGTGCCACTGAAGGCTCTAATATTCGCTCAGTCCCGCGGCAGCCGGGCTGAACAGGTGACACGAAGGCCACAGAGGGCCTGCCAGGGGCCAGCTGGCATCCTGCCACCCCTCTCCCCGCCCTCCTGGAGCACACGCACATGTGTGATCCGATCGGGGGACCCGATGACGCAGGTCCAGAGCCGCACCTGGCTGCCAGCTGCGCACCATCTGCTCAGGGTGTCACGGGCTCGGGTGTCACAGCGCGTTCTGAGCAGCACAGGCCACGTGCTCACGGAGCGCTCCTTCTCCCTGTGACAGGAAATTACTCACTTGATTCATTCAACTGCGTGTTCATGACAGGGAAGCAGGCTGGAGGACGAGGCGGTGTGCCATGTCAGGAGCAGGCAGAAGCAGGCTCTGTGTTATCCCTGTGGTGCTGTGTAAAAATCTCCATTCTGGGAGGCCGAGGCAGGAGGATGGTAAAAGTGAGTGCAGCCCGGGCAATTTAACAACTTAACAAGAATCTCTTTCAAAATAAAATTTAAAAAAATAGGGCTGGGGATATGAGTGAGTGCTAAGGCTCTGGTTTCAATCTGCAGTACTGAAAAACAAAGTTACCACTCACAAGTTCCGGTCACCA